TAACGGCATTAGTTAGTAAGCCAGTTCTACATAAGGGATATTGTCTTTTGCATTAAGGGATTTATGTATGGTTACTCATATTTACAATATTTTTTACTTTATAGTATGTCGCAAGAATCAGTTCCAGGAGATAATCTATCTCTACACGACACTCTAACTAGGCCCAACACTCCTGTTAGACGAGGTTCCCCCACAGAATCTCTTGTCCGTGAGGTCTTGAACCATTCCTTAATTAGCAGCTAAGCTACATCGTAGAGGCATCCCCTTCCCTGCCACAGGAAGGTGGAACGCTACAAGTTTCTAACTTCCCACTCCAGCAACCCTAGACCTGGCCCTAATTTACAGGGGGTCCACTCTGGCAGCCTGGAAGTAGTGCCGGACACGTTGTCCTGAAATTCTGACAACACTTCAGGCTTTCAACGAAAGACTTACCAAGTTAGAAACGGCCAACCCTGCTGCAGTTAGCACACCAGACATTCCTGCTCCTGCTCCTGCTCCATACATACTTCTATTAAGAATGATATTCTTGATGGTAAAGAGGTCAATTTAGTATCTCTTCTTATTGCTTTGCAGGACATCCTAGAAAATAGAGCATTCAATACCGGAGATATTTCCGTGATTCCTAAAACCAGAGATCCACGGTTTAATAAAAAACGTTCAATCCCCAAATTCATACTGGCCTTTGGGTTATAAAGAGATGTGTACCCTTAGAGGCGGAAAGAATTGGACCTCTATTTACACAAGGTGGTGGATCTAGGGCACAAGTATGGGGGTTTAGCTTTCTATGACTATCACAAGTCAGTGTCAGCTAAGGCAGCGGCAGCTCTGGCCCAATTCAACATCTGCATAGATTGGAGTCAGTTGGACATAGAGCTGTTCTGCAGACATTTCACCGCTTTGAAGCCCCAATCTTGTGCAGTATGTTCTTCTACTATACAGTCCACCAACTTGTGTCCCTGCAAAGCAGACCCCTCTACGTCCCATTCCGCCACTAACCTCTCCGTCAGTCAAGACAGAGGCCAAAGGGATAAAATTGGCAGGCCTATCATCTTCTTACCGTTGAGGACAAGGACTGTTTTCACATTTCTGCAGTGTTTGTGTTTAGCTGTAATTTTCCTCTTACTCATTTACTGTACCCACACATATTATATACAGTTTTTCTCGCCATTAAATTGTCTTCCTAAAGATATTATTACTTTTATCATATCATATAATTTACTATAAAATATGATTACATTTTTGTTTAAAACACACTTTTTCAAATTTTGACCCCCAAAATCTGTTACGCATCAACAACCGCCAAAAAACACCCATGCTAAATAGTTTCTAAATTGTGTTGTCCTGAGTTTAGAAATACTCAATGTTAACATGTTCTTAGCTTTTTTTTTTTTTGCAAGTTATAGGGCAATAATTACAAGTAGCACTTTGCTATTTCCAAACCATTTTTTGTTTTCAAAATTAACTAGGTTACATTGTAACACTGATATCTGTCAGGAATCCCTGAATAACCCTTTACATGTATATATTTTTTAAAAGAAGACAACCTAAGGTATTAAACTTGGGGTATTTTGACTCTTTTCATGCAACCATTTTACCACCAATCTATGCCAAATTTTAAAAAAAAATGGCTAGTTTTTTTTTTACACACATAACAGTTTAGGAATACATGTACTGATAACTTTAAGGGTTACTACCAAAGAACACTATGTGTTCTATATGTGTTCAGCAACATCTCCTGGGTATAGTGAAACCACCCATGTATAGGTGTTTTGGGTTCCCTGGGAGCTAAAATACCTTATTTGGAGGGTAAAATACCAGCTTGGAATTTCACATCTAGTCATCATGCATCCATGTCCTATTTGGGACATTTTTGAAGCCAGACAATATAATTTACTCCCATCAAACTATATATTTTTGAAATGTAGACACCCTAGGGTATTTCAAATGGTGATATTTTGACACTTTCCATGCACTAATTCTACCACTAGTCTTTGTCAAACTTTTGGGTAGTCATTTTTTGTGTTTTCACACACATCGTACTTTAGGCATTAATTCTTAGTTCCTGTTAGGTGTTACTGACAAAGAACACCCCGATATGTGTTCAGCAATATCTACTGAGTACAGTGATACCACCTATGCATAGGTTTGTTGGGTTGTTTGGGGGATGCAATGCCAAACCTCTAACATGTGTTTTTCAAATTTGAGATATCTTCTTTGCCTATCTTCTTTTTGGGGGCCTTTTTACATATCCTAATTTATTTTCTTGCCATGAACGTGCATATATTTGAAAAGTTGACACCCCATGGTATTTCATATGGAATGTTTTGATGCCTTTGATGCAACCGTTTTAGCCAAAACAAATTGAGAAAATGTGTGGTGGTAGCAGGTACATCTTGGTACAAATCCACAAAATGAACTGGAGCTGAAACTGTAAAAAAGTCATTTTCATTCCAGGGTTTGCTTTTTTGAACAACAAAAAGCGTTGTGGGTTGCAATATGCATTAAGTAAATTGCAATCTTTTTGTACCAGGCCCTTGTCTTCTATATAATTAGATAGGGCTGCAGCAGCTGATCTGCTTCCTTGTGCTCTCAGCTCTGCCATGTACAGAGATCTCCACAGTCCTCTCAATGTGGATGGTGGTAAGAAGGTGCACATCCTTCTTGCTTTTGTAGTTAACTGCCAACAGCTCCTCTTGGCGCAAAGCTGAGGTCTCCCCCCTTCGTAGCCAGTGCGTGCAAGTTGTCCTGGGAAACCTACGCGATTCTTTCTGATTGTACCGCAAGCTACTGTATCAAAACAATACAGTAGCTTGAACAAAGGGACACTTGTATAAAAATTGTCTATATACAAGTGGTACCCTTTGTTCATCAGGGGGTATATCAGGTCCCAGACAACCTGGACAACCTGGAGGGTCAAGGAGGCTATCCTTTCCCTCGTACACCCTGAAGGACTCAGAATTCCCAGTATCGCTCTCACAGAGCTTATATACCTTTACACCATACCTGGAGCGCTTGGAAGGAATATACTGCCTGAATCCCAGCCTTCCCTTATAGGGGTTAAGGTCCTTAAGGGGTCAAGGTGTCATGGTAGGGCTATTTTCTCAACCCCATTTTACCACTTGGCGGACAAACCCTATCGGAGTGGTTACTAATAAAAGTTCAAATAACAAACGTTTGATAATCGATCTTTCCGCTCCTTATTCCAATCACAAGCCCAGCATGAATTCACTTATACCTGCGGAAGAGTTCTCCCTCCACTATGCCACATTGGAAAAAGCCATACAGGTCATTTTACAAGCTGGCAAACATGCTTGGCTAAGCAAAATGGATATTTCCATCGCCTTCAAACTTCTACCAATTCATCCACCCCTAAGGTATATCTATGGCAACAAGTGGAGGGATAAATACTATTTCGCCACCAGGCTCACTTTTGGTTCTAGGAGTAGTCCAAAATTGTTGGACATCTTTGCAAAAACTCTCTGTTGGCTGCTGCTGTCCAACGATAATTCACTGCCTGAACAACTTTCTGTTGGTAGAAGTAGGCTCTCACACACCACGCAACATTCTTATCACCACAGCTCTATTCTCTACACTAGGTGTCCCTCTGTCACTAGATACGGTGTCGATGCAGGCATGCCTCCCTGATGAGAAATGACTTTGCATCAGAGAAGAGTTGTTTCGATTCCTTCAGAGTAGTTCATGTACGCAGATGGCTCTTCAGTCCTTGCTGGGATCCATCAATTTCGCTATGCGGATCATTCCATAGGTTAGATCATTCATCTCTAGGTTACTTGGCCTCCTGCCTGGTGTGCGTATAGATGGCATGGTAGTTCTAGACTCCCCTGGGCACAGCTGATTTGATCATGTAGAATTGTTTTCTCTCAGAATTGAGCAATAGAGTTAAGCGGACACCTGGATGTTCGGGTTCGCCAGATTCGGACAAAAATTGGCAAAAAGTTTTAGTTCGGCCTCGAACTTGACCCGAACTTTTGGGCACTAAAATGGCTCTAAAAACGTCCTGGAAAGGGCTAGAGGGCGGCAAAAGGAAGTAAAATGGGGGTAAGAGTAGGACAAGTGCCCTGCAAACAACTGGGGTAGCCAAACTTACTTTTAAGCACCCAAAAAATGTGAATTGGTCAAACTGCAATGTCACAGCAATATTTGACGGTTCTATTTGACTCTCAAATATGAAGTGCACGCCCCAAATTTACTTTTTAGCACCCAAAAAATGTGAATTGGTCAAACTGCGATGTAACCACAGTATTTGATGGTTCTATTTGACTCTCAGATATGAAGTGCACGCCCCAAATTTACTTTTTAACACCAAAGAAATGTGAATTTTTCAAAGTGCGATGTAACCACAGTATTTGACGGTTCTATTTGACTCTCAGATACATTGCATTAGGAGCAGTAGTATAATGAGCAAATTTTTATATTAACAAGTTTATAATAGGAACATTCAGTTAGATTGCGTGTACGGTATGGTTAGTGGCCATTTAATCGCAAGCAGTTACCGCCATATTTCCCAGGTTATTTAAGCATGTAATAGTGGCTGAAGTAAATAGTGTGGCTTGTCTAACCGATATTGCCTCAACTGATAGGTCTGCTAAACCTTTGTGTAACTAAGCGTGGAGTTCAAGAAAGGCCTGTTGGTTAGGTCTAGTTGTACATAACATAAGCGAGGCTGTATACAGACATGCTTAGTAAGTAATTATGGTCCAGGCTTCCCCTAATGGGCAGTTACATAGCAGAGCTGTACTCGGTGATTATGTATGATTGTAGGGTGTCCTGACGAGTAAAAGAAAATAACCAGTTGTATAAGGAAACATGCTTAACTAAGGTAACAAGAATTAACAGGGAACAAGTTCCTGCAGGGTGTTTGTCCTGTAGACGTAAGAGACCTCTGCGGTCAGTCTCACGTGATGAGGGGCCCTGGGATATAATCGGCCCAGAGCAGCAAGAGCCTCTGCATAACCCCCTACCCCCAACCTGGCTGCCATTCACCCAATGCCCGTGGTAGCTACCAGAGTCATGTTGGAACTGACTGTCCCGCTTGGATCAGTCGTATTGCAGCAGGGCGAGAGTCCCAGTGCCAGACTCAGATGCCCCCGATATGCTGGTCTGTCGTGGATGTTGGGTGTACATGTTGCGGCTTGCAGTGTCAGTCTGGGTGGTTCCGACCTCTGCGGTGCGTCATGAGGCAGGCTCTTTGGGCTTGTCGGGTATGGAGGTGCCATGTTGCTCAGAGCAGGGTAGATCGTGGGTCTCTGTCGATGTTGGTTGGGTTGAAGTGGGTTTGAAGAGCACTTGCAGTAGTGCTTATCCATCAGCAGGTTGCGTGATTTTCCCGGTCGGGATGGTGCTTCAGGGTGGTTGTTGGGATGTCCCGGGCCGATTTTTCAGCACTGTGTTTGTTGAAGCGGCCTCCGTTTCTTCCTTAGTGGCAGTGCTGCACCACAACTTCTCCCCGGAGTCGCAGGCTGCCCTTTTGTGAGCGGCGAGGTTGATTCTGGCTGGGCTCCAGCTGACTTGTGCCGGCGTGCGACTAATGTGGCCCAGAATCTTGCAAATAGGGCGTCTATCCTCTCCTGCAGAGTCAGTCGTTTGAGTTGAGGCAGTGAGATGCACGAGGTGTCCGCCATCTTGGTGTCTCGTGGCAGGGACTTCACGAGTTAGCCACCGTTGAAAGTTGCCGGGATAACCCCCGGCTGGTGGGGGGGGAGATGTTGCTGATTGATCCTCCCGGGTAAGTGCTCGGTAGCAGGCTGAGGGATCGGCCGCCTCCCTCTTGTGCGCTGCAACTGGGCCTCTTGTAGGCCGCGGGCCTTCCTTCGGGTTTACCCACCGATCACGGTTGGAAGGCCCACTGGTATAGGATCTAGGGGTGTCTCTCGCTAAAGTTTCGGGTTGTTGGGTTGCCTTTGTCGCTTATTTAGAAGCCCTATTGTGCGGAGCTCTCAGTGTGTGCGACCTCTCCGTGCGGCTGTCAGGCTCCGCCCCTCCTCAAATTTACTTTTTAGCACCAAAAAAAATGTTAATTTTTCAAAGTGTGATGTAACCACAGTATTTGACGTTTCTATTTCACTCTCAGATATGAAGTGCATGCCCCAAATTTACTTTTTAGCACCAGAAAAAATAGAATTTTTCAAAGTGCGATGTAACCACAGTTTTTGACGTTTCTATTTTACTCTCAGATATAAAGTGCACTCCCCAAATTTATTTTTTAGCACCAAAAAAATGTGAATTAGTAAAACTGCAATGTCCCAGCAGTATTTGACGGTTCTATTTGACTCTCAGATATGAAGTGCACGCTCCAAATTTACTTTTTAGCACAAAAAAAATTTGAATTTGTCAAGCTGCAATGTCACAGCAGTATTTAAAAATGCCTAGATGTTGCCCACTGAGCTACCAGAACAGGATTAAAGTAATGTGCATGGCACACATGCAGTTGCAAGTGCCCACCTAACAAACAGACTGCTTATTTCTCTGTGGCACTGGGCTCAGGGCAGGGTACAAAAATGTAGTATAGCACCCACAAAAATAATCGCTGTAGTTTGCAGATTCAACACCAGAATTATTTCCTAATCTGTCCCTCACAGCTGCAGCATCCTCTCCCTACACTAACAAGAGCTCATGTGACTCCAGCTTATATAGAGGCTGGGTCACATGCTGCACTGGCCAATCAACAGCAAAAAACAAATGGACGTAAGTCTCTTTTCAGCTATGTAACTTGTTGATTGGCTGCCCTGCAGCTTTTCAAAACGTGCCATTAAATCGCCGAACACCGAACCCGAACTGTTACTGAAATGTCCGGGTTCTGGTTCGGGGTCCAAAAATCTTAATTTTTGGTATGAACCCAAACTTTACAGTTTGGGTTCGCTCAACTCTACTCAGAATGAAATGGTCTCTCCATGTTCATTCCCCTACTGACAGAACAATCTGCCGTCATATGGACTGACGCAGCTGCTCATACAGAGTTTTCTGCCATTTTTCGTAACCACTGGTTAAGGAATGTCTGGCCTCAGGACACGCTCGCCTTGCCGGCCTTTGAAGAAACATCAGCCCTTTTCTAAATATACCCTAATGTGGCAGCTACCTATACTTGATGTCATATTTGGTCTGGCAAGGAGGTAAATCGTTTCACCGACAAATTGGCTGAATGCGAGTGTCGGGTTCACTGTTTAGTAGATGGAGCCCAAAATGCAGAGGAGTGCTGAAAGCAATGGACCAAGTTCGCAGTACAAAAGGATCAAACAAAGAGAGTAGTCGAGGAAGCCAAATGTCAGGACAGGTGGCACGGGTTCAGAAGTGATGGTACAGGCAAGGGTCAAAATCAGCATACAACAGATCAGTCACTGAAGGTCTTTACACAATCAGGAGCAAAGTACAACTGAGTGAGGAATCAAGGGTGTGTGGTGTTTAAATAGGGAGAGTGGGTGGTCTTGTCTATTGTAGTTCCTCCCTGGTCTCCACCTCCTGTACCTTTAGAAGGCTCTGTTTCGACACATGTGCCTTTTGATTCTCCCAAAGCTCTACCTCCTGTGTGGTCGTGTGTTATAAGCGGTGGTTTTCTCATGAACAGAGTTCCACCTTCTGTCTTGCTGTTCAGTAAGCGGCGTTCGTAGGTGGAGTTGCGCCTCCTGTGTTGCTGTGTTCGGTAAGTGGCGTCCGCACAAATAGAGGTGGCATTCATATGAATGTGAGCGGTCGGCGTGATTGATTAAGCCTACCGTGCAGTCTGTAGAGTCGTGCTCCGATGCGGTGTCCTCGTGGAGTGAGAGGGAGACTTGGCGTGGGATCGCGAGGTATGTGAGTGTGAGAGCGAGGTCTTGATAGCGAGGTAGTCAATAAGGGTGCTCCTCCGGTTTGACCATGATGCGGTTGATCCATAAATTGACCTGGCTTGCTGTCAAATTGCAGTTTTATTTGGTTTGTGAACACATGCGGGAGTGGATAACACTGCAGCTGACACACTGTCCCGATCTGATTTTCAGGTATTTTTCAAGTTACATCCCTGCGCCAACAAACACCAGTCCAGAATGCCAGCATTTCCAGAGCTGGTTATGGACTAACAGAATTGATGATACACGCAAGGTCACTATCCCACAACAAATGTGTGAATTTTACACTCATATGTGGCAGAGCTTGTAACCAGCTCCGAATAACGTAACATACAGTGGTACAATCCCCACTGAAAGATATATTTAATTCAAAGTTTATCATTATTCAAATATTGGTGTGCTGTAATGCAGAGAAGAGAATATACAAAAGTGTAGTACTGCAAATAAAGGTGAGCATAAAATTAAAAGGGACAAATACATTCACAGGAGAGAAGCTTATAACACAACCTTAGTATGTCAGGCATAGGGTGGTATAATAGATGTCTTTGGTGTTACAGTCTCCATCAACAGGAGCATAAAATCTGAAGAAATGTTTTTTTTTTTAAATAATGGTTTCTAAAAGAGCGAGCAGATGAAAATGAAATATAAGCATGCAAACATATTTGAGAGCAGTTGGACCACTCTGTATTTAGAGCGTGGGTGGTATGACCCCTTCAAGGAAAATTTACCAGGACTCTTTAATCAGATATTTCCAGTACAAATCAAACAAATAGAGGCTGCGCAAAATGTTGCTATTTGCACAAAGTGCTACCAAAATTTATTGGAGGACAAAATAATAAACAAACTATTCGGGTACAACCCTTTTTCAATGCACCATGTCCCTCAACCCCATATGATACACTCACCCTTTAAATACAGAAAATACAATAAACAAATGTCCACAGCCACCCCCCTCTGTAATCAGTGCTGAATAGGAGTCGTCCTGGGTCCGGCCGCCATCTTGCAGGATTTCCCAGCATGCCATGTTGCTAGGCAACAGTAAACAAAACATATCAGGAAATGCTGTAGCCAGGTCTCCTGGCTGTAAGGGAAATCAGTCAGCCAGTGATCGAGATCTATACACCAGAGATAAGAGCAAATATAACAACAACATGAAAATATGCATAAATGGGCTAGCAAAAAAGCCCAAACAAACTAATAAAATAAGGATAATAAAGTCTAATGCAATAAGAAAACACAAAAACAATGCTTAGAATAATAAAAGGCATATGGAGGAATCCAAAACAAAATTAGGTGAAAACAAACATAGTAGTATTAATATATACAGATTAAATACAATATATATATATATATATAGAGAGAGAGAGAGAGATAATTCCCCACAGCAAACTGACAGGGGAACAGGCACAACCCCAAACAAATGGGGGAGTAAAAGAGACCATAAACTAAGGAAATAACTGATGGAAATAGAGGGTCTTAAAGAGACAGAGTCAGTGGGGAGAACCCCATTGATAAAGAAAAAAAGCCCAGAAACTAGGGCAGAAATACTTACAAGACTCGCCAACCGGTGGGTGCACTATTACATACCTACAGGAACCAGTGCCACTCAAGTTTCTCATTAAGACCATGGGGGGCCACTGTGTCCAGTAGGTATGTCCAACGAGCTTCCTTTTGTAATAGTATCTTCTCCCTATTGCCCCCTCTTGTTGGGGGGGGTACCCTTTCCAAGACTTGGTACCTGAGTTGGGAGGCATTATGACGCATTTCCCCGAAGTGACGGGCTACAGGAGTATCAGCTTTAAGGCTACGGATGGTAATTTTGTTTTGTGATATGGGGTCTTTTAATGCATGAATAGTTTTACCCACTCAGGTAAAACTTAATCAGATATTTCACAGGGTGCCAGGAACCTGTAAAATAAAATTAAATAATACAAAAGATTTTTAAAATAGTAATTAAATCTATGATTAAATTCTATATGGGTATAAGCCAAATACACTTTATTGCAATGAAAACAAGCTTTAAAAATCCCCAACGCGTTTCACCTATGCAAAAGGCTTTCTCAAGTGTATTGAATTCCAGGCATTAGCACATGAAAACATAAATAGAAAAGAAAGGTGTGTAGCAATGGAAATCTAGAAGAGAGAAAAAAATGAATCGGAGAGTAAGAGCATGGAAAAGGGTGAAGAAAAAGAAAAACAGAGAAAGTAATAGCAATGGGCTAGTAATAAATAATAGAGAGCAATGGGGAGAGCACACAGATTTCCCTTTGGCGTTTGTTCGTATAAATGATAGATTTTGCTTTTTGTTCTGGTTTAACATTATGTGTCCATTTCTAGAATGTTCATGCCCTAGTCTACCAGTGCTCTTTTCTTCCTTTTATAGCTAAGTTTCCAAAATGACATTGGAAATGTACGCATTCACCGCATCAGGCAGCATTGCAACATATGGCAAACATGCTGCAAAAAAAGCAGTCAGGGGAAAGCTA